TTATTTTGGAATTCTCGGTTTCAATTCTTTTCTGAGATATATTATACCCGCAGTAACGAAGTTTCTTGATCTCAAATTTGCATTTTGATTCCTTTATTTTTAATCCTGCTTCGTTTATGAGCGGAAACAGTTCGTGCAAATCCCGAATATATGCATCGCTATAGTCTCGCTGCTTATAATTACATCATTATGGTAAATAAGAGTACTTTTCCTTAGAACAGGTCTTTATATATTGCCCATCGCCCTATGACACGTGGCAGGCGCTCCGTGTAAGCCAAACAGCAAAGCCAAGCGGCATTCTAAGGAGCGCATAAACGCCTGACTTGGTAATAAATGCCCCAATTTAGGCATAGATACTGAGCTATCGTAAAGGCTACTCGATATTGCAATAACTAGGCAATAACCTAGATCAGTGATGGCAAACCTTTTTCCAGCCGCGTTCCCGAAACCGTTTTTTTTTACACCATTTACATTCTGATAGGGAAACGGAAACGAGAAATCACAGTAAAGATTCAAAACATAAAATAACTAGTTAGTGAAAAATAATATTAATAACCCTACACATATTTATTTTGAGAAACAAATCAAATTATCGTGCAGTTTTAATATGGGAAGATACAATTTTGAAACTTACAAAATATTTTATATTTTATGTTTATATGTTTTTATTGCCTTTCAAGAGCATTTTTCTTTGTAATGTTGCTAAAATATTCAAATGTTGCCATTAAAAGGCTTAGTGTTCGAAACAATTTATTTATTGCAGGAGAACATGTTTTTACTAGAGATTTAGATGGTTATGTAAATCTGAATTACTAGATCGAGAATTTCTTGTTCCTTTGAAGTTACAATATTTGGATTCCGTAAGAAATCTAAAAAACAGTATTCTAGGGGAAAATGTGAATCAATAAATTATTCCTTTAAAAATTTTACAATTCCATTTTTTTCAAATCGTGCTTCCTGAAAAACACACTTTTACGTCCTTTCCTCCTAACTCTAGACTATAATCTAATGAAATATTTGTTTTGCAGCTCGAGGTATTTTGTATCATATTTAGCTTTTGAAACATTTAAGCCGAAATAATCTATAAGGAACGACATGAGAATTTTTATATCAATTTTTTTTTATTATAATAAGTTTTCTGCACTGAGATTTAAAAACTTCGGAACTTTTCATTTCAAAATTTCATTTTAATTACTCTAGGTGATAGCTTCTTATATTAACTTCATTTTGATGATTTATTTCTATTAAGGCGATTTGAAAGCTTTATTTATTGTTAATAATAGTAAATAAAAAGCATAATATATGCCTGAAAATCGTAAACAATCTATTCAATAATACATTCATCATTTAACTTAATTGCCATTAAAATTAATGCAACTTCGCTAGCAACATTAGTCATTCAGTTTTTGTGAGCAGTCATCTTTCAAAATCAACTATACCTTAACTTATAACCTTCCAATTACTAGGCCGACTTGCTAATTATTGGTGCTTTTAATTCCTTATAACATGACTAGAACGGTTTCGAGGAAAATCAAAATCCTTATGTTCAGATTCTGTAGTAAATGTTGTGTAAGAATTGTAAGAATTGGAGGCTCCTTTCAGCCCACCTGGACACGAGTGTCCCCATAGCTAGTAAATGTTGTGTATTAAATTAATTTTTTTCTTAAAAATAGTGAATTGATTGGCTTTGCCATAAGGAAAGGATTGCGCAACTATAATAAAAATATACCCCCGAGGTGTCTGTTTAGCTTTTCAAACAGAATAATCTCAGTGGGGAAGATCAGTTATAGTAAATTTAGCAATTCGAAGTCGTCACAATGTTGTGTCCAGTTTTATAAAACAATGACACCATTCCGCAAAATTTGTGATTAGTTGAGGTACAGTATATGCACAGTATTTTCAAAGGTATCCGGGCACTAAGAGAAATTTACAAAGAACAGATTCACGCGAAGGAGCATCCTCAGGGTAAACGTAAGCATGTAAACTACGGGGTACCGTCTTATGAGTAAATTGCATGATATGACTGGTGAAATCTCTGTGATCTTGCAGAGAATCAATTTAAAAAGTGATTCGCCGTGGATTATATCACATCTGAGTAACATTTCATATAAAGCATCTCTATTAAACTATGCATTTTAAAACCGATAGTAAATAATGTAGCTAAACGTTATGAGAAGAATCGCTTATCTCTCGGGAAATATCACTCATGATTTTATAATTTCTGAAGTTTACCTAATTCTTTCTACATAACTTTACAAATCAAGGCAAAATAGCCCTTTAACGAAATGCTAACAAATCATGTTTCTTTATTTTGAATAACCTTCTATCTATGCTAAATTAGGAAATGCTTGGTAGAGTTGAGTTTGTTCCGTTAATAATCATTTTTAATCAAAATATGACTGCAATACTTATTTGAAGTAATAAAATTTACACTTTTTCAGCCTTATAAAAGTACTGGATTTGACAATAGTTTATCAAAAACCATTGGTTTCCATCTAACAATCCCCAAATCAAAATCGTGTTTAAATTATGGCAATAACCAGATTTACAGCGGCAACTTTGAAAATGGACCTTTGCAGAAATACTGTCTTCAAAGAATTTAGCTTTCATAAGGTTTCCAGTTACTGCTGACCGCTGCACATTCTGCTTCTGTATAGGAAATTACAAGCGCTCGTGGCTGAGGATTAAAAAAATATATGTACTATACTTACTCGCATATTTCTCACCCTCACGTAATACCCCCTGTAGGTTTTTCAGCACAAACATCTATTAGAAACTTCGGATTAAAAAAAAATAGTGTAAAATGTACTCATAAATATAAAGGTATATTGTGTAAATAAAAAGAATATTATCGAAATTGATAAGTCATTTGAAATACATAATATAATAATAATAGTGCGCGTCTGTATATGCTTTTTAATATGCTGCGTTTATCACTTAAGTCGTCTGTTCAGGAACATTATACACTGCGTATTCCCCCTCCTGATTTTTAAGAAGTAAAATTAGAATAAGAGAAAGAGGGAAACACTCACGTACATAAGGTTTTGAAAATTTCAAATAATTTTATGTAGCTTTTATTTTTGTAATTCACGGTACCTCGCTTTAATTGTCGGTTATTGATATTAACCAAACTAGATTCACAGTCGAACTGCTTATGAAGTTCGCGCAGATCAAAATTATTTTCAGAGTTACCTGGTTATTATTATTACTTTAATGGACGTCCTTTTTATGATTATTGATTTCTTTTTTTCCTAAATCCGATTCTTTATGATCGATTTTTTATCATAAAATATGAATTTGATTTGTATCTCGATATTCTAAAACATTAAATCTATCCGACAATGGTTATATCAATAAGAAGTGGACTCCATGTTTCCTTAGATTACTTGGCTTGATTTCTTGAAAATGAGGAGTACGTGTGATTGACTTCAGTACATCTCACAGAACAATTAAACGATTATGAGTAAACCGAGCTGATAGATACTAAACCAATCACGACGAACAAGTTCGCTATTCGTTTTGTTGGTTAATGAGTTTGCAGCATGAAAACCGTTTTCTATCTGGATTTATTGGAAATTGGTTAGTAGCAATTATTACAAGTTTGTCAAATAAATAAATGGTGCTTTGTCTAATCAGCAAAATATAGCACTTCACCCACAGCATGTTTGAGTGCATTGTTAAGTACACTAAGGATCTGTCTAGATATAGACTTTGAATTATTATCATCTGTATCATTATGCGTTTAAAGATTTTTTTATTGCAAATGCATTGACCAAGAATTGAAGCGGGCCAGTTGTCAATATTAATACATTCACGGCACAACTGATTTCTCTTTTTAACAGATGAATTACCGAATCAAGGAGCATACAGAAAATGATAGAAATGTGCTTTTAATTTACTGTATCTGGTTTTAGAACCCTTATATATTTTTTATCACTAAATATTAAACGCTTTCTAAGCATCAGTTAAAGGCAGGATAACTTTATATGAGTTTTACGTAGACCTTGAAAAAACGAGGGTGAACAGTGGTGTCATTATTTGCCATTTAGGTACCTTTTGCAAGGAAAAAAACTCTAAAATTAAAATGAGAAAAGACTAAATTTTTATTTCAACCTTCATTTTAGATTTATACTGCACATGAATACACTTCAGAACACAAGTCAAGATGTAAAACAAAATAAAGCAAATGAAACACAATTCCAACAATCATAAATAAATTATGCACGTTGATATTGCTCATGGGTCTTCTGGGACAAGAAGAGCTGCTCTAAGTTCTAGCTGTCTTTTCAAGAATGTGATAGAAAGTCGTTGTGAAGCAGAACGTTGTATTAGATTAATGGATCACGTTTCCTTAGCGAAAAGATGTAAAAAACTGTATGTTTTACTGGTATCTTAAAATGTTATTCCTTGCGCACAAAATTAAGATTTCTGGGTGAAAAATAAAAAACACTGTAGTGATTGCTTTGTAGGTATAAAAAATTATGAACACCATAATTTTATTATTTAAACTACAATACCCTAAATAATTTTATACTCGGTAATGCAACTTAAATTTAGTTTTGGTGGAACGCGGAAAAAATTAGCGTTTCTTCTCTTATACCTTACATATGTAAGTATATCTCTCGCACATTTTATAGAAGCTCAAGTCAAACATGACATATTTAAAATTATCAGAATCTCTGTTGCTTTCTAAAGAAAAAATATTAAAGGAAAATGTTGTACCTTCTTTACATTCTTTAATATGCTCTTGCGGTTAATCCATCTGAATTAATTACAGATAGCATGAGCAAAATTTAGGAATGGTACGCCCTTCTTTCCTTTTTTTTTTACCTCCTTGTACGAAGTAAAGGAAGTTAAATTAAAGAAAATTCAATATTTGTTAAAGGAAAATGAAATATTTTTATATTTTTGAAGGTTTTTAGCTATTGAGTTATGAAGTGATTACTTCTAAGTTTCTAACCATTATAATAAATGAATAACTGTATGTTACACCTCACCAGATTAGTGCGGGAGAAAACGAAAGTGGATTTAAACATGAGGATAGGAGTTCATTCAGGAAGTGTTCTCTGTGGTGTTTTAGGACTCTATAAGTGGCAGTTTGATGTTTGGTCCAACGATGTTACCCTTGCAAATCACATGGAATCTGGCGGAATAGCTGGGTAAGTATCTATATAACTTTTTTATGATTTAATGTTTAGACTGTAGTGTAGGTTCTTCCTTTAAACAAAGTGAAATATTCATGCTTCACAAATAAAAAAACGATCTATATCACTGCTGTTCTATAGCATTTTATTAAATTAAATTAAAAATAAATAAATAAATTTTTTAAAAATAATAATTTGAAAGCTTTCAGATTTTATATTAAGCACAAAGGGTCATTCCGGGTGCCCATGTTCGAGTGGATTATTACGTTATTCAAAATTTGATGGCTCTAGGTACCGTCGTTTTTCCACAATGCGAGAAACATGCATACATTCATGCAGATTCTTCACTGTTTAATTTCTTTAAATATAATACAGGGCGATAATATGTGGTGACAACAATTTAAAAAGTGATTCGCCGTTTAGAATGAAACACAGCAAAATGCTGTTTTGCCGTAATAGCCCTTGGGCTACCGGCCCCTCGGCCGTTTGGGCTAAAAGAAAAAAGAGCGAGAGAGAGAGAGAAAAGAAAAGAAAAAAAATTAAAGCTAAATGATAATGATTGCTCGTAAATTAGCATTTCTGTGAGCTTCCAAATGAATTGTAATTTGAATTTTTAATTGAATACATATTCAATTCAATTATTTATGCATTTATTTTTCCCTACTTGAAATGAGAAGGCAAACTTTTTAGCAAATTTAGGGATTTAGTATAACATGAAATCACGTTTAAGTACCTTACTTAGTTGGCTATGCTTGCAGTCTTACTTAGTTTTTTGTTTTATGCGGTAGCTAACTTAGAAATTAAAACTATTTCTACTTTAAAAATTCGAACTTTATTAATCAATGCATAAAAGATATCGAAAATTAGCCATGAATCTAAATCAAATTGAGGATTTTGTGGACGTAAAGAGTTTTCAATCCATTCTGAAGCTGTAACTTAAATTTCTTTGTTTTCTCTCAGCAAACTTTTCGAACTCAACGAAATTTTTATAGTGCATTCATTTTGGGTAATTTTGCTGATATTATGATCGATTTATATTGGCAAATATTTAAGGTTTCAAGCGATTTCACAAAATTCTATCTATTAATGTAAAACCGATAACTTTTCCTTTTCGTATTTAACCAGAACTTACCAACATATATACTGATAGAAAATGTAAGCTCAAATGATAGTGTGCACGTATATAATGTATATATAGTTCGAAAATAAGGTGATATAAGTAAAATAAACTAAATTCGAATAAACACACACTGCTGCCATTGCTGCTACAAATAATGTAAATAATTTAAACCATTGTTATACTAAAACTGTATAAGTCAATTTTCCGTCATGCAAAATAAGTAAAAGAAACGATGGTTCGCAAAAAAGTAAAACACGCCAATTCCAAATAAATGGGAGAGAAAAATTTTAAAAGAAAGAATTGAATACGTTGTTGGTCTTCATCATGAAGCAACCAAAGTGTAATCATACTCAACTACTCCGATTACATTAATTGAAGAATTATACATAAACCAAAACTTTGAACTGAACAAAACTAATATTTATCAAATAACAATTAGACATATCCGTACATATGTTCCTAAATAAAATTATTATATGACATAATTTTTAAGAAATTTCTTACTTTGTTTTACTTTACTACTGAGTATTAAAATCAAAAAAGTACATTAAATATTCTTCAGATAGATTAAAAAATATTAAAAATTGGCAAAAATTAATAGCCATTTTAAAAATCAAATATAAGGAATTACAAACTAGGTAAATTTGAAAGACCGGAACTGACATGACGCACATGTCAGGAATTACTGTACTTCAAATGCAAGTACAGTAATATGATAGCATATTTGAAGATATGCATTCCTAATGTCTGATATACTTTCCTAAGATCTACTTAGGAATGCCTATCAAGTGTAAACTGTATAAAATTCAACAGTTTTTTAACAACAACGCTATTTTGGATATGTTACAGTTATATTGCAGTATTAATGTTTCCCAAGGTGAATCTTTATCTTTCATTTTTTATCTGTTAAGTCATGAACATAGGATCATTATTTTATATAGGATGTTCAATTTCAAATTTGACTATAATATGGACACATAAGTTAGAGCATATTTTGTTTGTAATAGTTGCTTCATCCCTATATCCTTCCGTTATATATACATATGTATTCGTGTGGTGTGTCATGAAATAATTTAGTTCTTTGAAATTTGATATGAGACGAGGGCTTGACTAGGGAGGACACCAATTATTCTGCAGTCGCGAGGGGATTGAAGTTACAAGATCACTGAAACTTCGATTACGCACTAAAAGGTGCCGGGAAATTTTGAAGAATTACAAAATTACTTGATAATTCAAGTATATCTTTATTAATTATTGATTAATCTATTAAATTGCCCAGTACAATATGGGGGCAATCCGCATTTCATAATTTTGATTTTGACGCGTTACATTCTTAACAGAAGCAGCTAAGCAAGAGACGTCCCTCAGCTAGCAAGCGTAAGTAGAGAAAGAGAGAGCGTAGTTGGATTGCACTAGTAATCTACAGAAATCGTTTTCGTTAATCTGATTGGCTGAGAACTATACGCAATGCGAAGGTTAAGGTATCATAATTCGGAATTAGTTTTTAGATAAGACGAAGTTTCGAGAATGTTATTACCATTTTAGAATAAAGAGATGGAAGTGCCCAAACCAAAAGGAGGAATTAAATGGCTTATTGCTAATTTAAATGGAAAAATAAACACTGAGAAGTTGTTCTACTATTAAAAACAAGTGAAACAAGTGAAAACTATATAAAAGTGTAGGTACTAAAACTTTTAAATTCCTTTGCGTCATGATTCCTAGAAATTCTGTAGTAGGACAGATAATGAAAAGATCCAGTTACTGTGATGGCGCTCAACATTTTCTTTTTTTTAACGTGCTGCCTCCTGTAACAGGCTCTTGATACATAGAAATAAGATTTTGAATTAAAAAATAAATTATTCATTTCAGCAAAACATATAACCTTTCTTCCTTTTTCAGAAAAGTTCATATTTCCCGGGCCACACTCGATTATTTAGGTGACGCTTATGAAGTGGATCCTGGTCATGGTGAAACTCGAGATGCCTACTTACGCACGCACGGAGTTCAGACATTTCTTATAAGGAGAAACCAGCCTACCGTTTCGCCCTCCAAGGTATGAATCTTTATATTTTTGCTAAACTTCTTATTCTTGTTTCCTAAAATTAAACTGAACATTTAGTTTCCTACCGACAGTATATGATTATTGATAGTATTTTAGCAGAAACAGGAAAAATGATAACCCATCAAAGTTAGGATAGACGTTTTAATATTTTGATTCCTTGACCTGGGCCCTAAAACTTGAAAGGTTATATTTACTTTTTTCTAAATTTTACATGTAAGACGATCGTAATGTAAAGTTAAAATAAAACTAAAAACGAGGCAAGCTGTGAATGTGTCGTATCTAATCACTCTTTGTTTTCATTTAAGTTATCCTAAAAAATCTGAAAAATAGTTTTATTCTTTAACCCTTTATGTCCCAAATTACTTTAATTTTTGAAAAAGAGTTTGTAAGTTTTTATTATATTTCTTTATGGATGGAAAACGTATCATGTTAAACTAACAAAAATTTTATAAGTTTTTCATTATTTTTTTAATTTAAAATTGGGTTTTAGAAGTTCCGTTGGGACATAATAGAGCGATTGTCTTGATGAGATTTTAAAGTTCCATAGGGAAACTAAAGGGTAAAACAAATTTTATACACAGTGAGACATTTCTAAACATAGTAAAATTAGTTTTGTTTATTAGAATCAGATCTTTTACTGAACGAAAAAGTATATAATTATTTTACTGAGTACAGCTAGTGCAATTTAAAAAAATATTGCATATTTCTAATGAGACGTCTCATTTTAATTCACTTTATTTTAATCACAATTGAAAAACAATATTCTCAAGCATTGTTTATTGCTTTTAAATCAGTTTATTACTCAATAACATTCTAGATAAAATTTGAAAGTATCTGAGGCTTTGTTGACGCTTAAAAGATAAAAGTATTTCATTTACGGTTGCGGCAACATATTTCTTTCATAGAGCCGAGTTTGTTAATTATAATTGAAAGATAAACATATTACACTTTTTTGAACGGCAACAGTCTGGCCGCTGGAGATAAAAAAGTTTCGTTTCGAACATTGCTGCCACTGCTTGCTTTGAAATCATTGAGTTTGTTAGTTAAAAATTCATTAAACTTTTACAGATTATGAAATAAATAATAAAACAAGTCGGAAATACAAAATTAATATATATATAATATTATATATATATATTAATTTTGTATTTCGGACTTGTTTTATTATATATATATATATATAATTAAAAAGAAATAAAAATCTGAACGTTTTCAGATTTTAACAGTCGCGTAGAATTTTAGTAACAAAATTTTTAACAGCTGCAAAGCAAGGGCTAAAGAAGGTCTGTGTCATACCTTTGAAGGGAACTATGCCGACACGAACCCTCTAGGGATGCATTTGGGATGCTATGTGACATCACTGTTTTCGTCACCTCGATGATAGCAGCAGGGCTAAAGAAAAGCCCTGGCATAGCAACATAATGTTTAAAATTCCCGACGCAGTGTTCAGTACTGGCATACAATTTTCTATACATTTTTTTTCAGTTTTCTCTCAGTTCATCATATTAATGTTCCGTTTTCTTTGTAAGATGGGTAACAAAAACTTGTCTTTTCATTTTTAACTTACGAGTTAACTCTGTTTATTCAATCACATTCTTCTCACTTAAGGATTGACGTAATTTTCTCGAAAACGCAACTTAGAATATATATTAGATTTATACATAGCGTTGTTCTAATATAGGTCTTCTGACCCTAAATTGGACTTCTTCAGAAATGACATACCAATTTCGAGCACTTTCGAGGCATGAAAAACGTAAGTTTAAATTTCGTCAGTCCAGCAAAACGGGAGAGACAGAACTATCCGATTCGTTTCGAAACGGTATTTTGCGTCGAATCATTTTAAATGTCTGAATCAATTTCCAAATTCTTGCCGCCAAATATTATCTCCATGTATTATATTTAAAGAAACTAAATAATGAAGAGTCTAACATGAATGTACGTGTTTCTCGCACTGTAAAAAAGTAACGGTATTATACTCATTAAATTTTCAAACTCATGGTCCCTGGTCCCCCACGCGAATATAGGCACCTGGAAGGATGAATTTGTTTTATTGTCTATATCATATTTTGTAAAACTTTAGCGAATTTTTTATTAAAAAACTCACCAATTTCAAAGGGATTACTGGCAGCATTGTAGGGAATAAAACATTTTTATCTCCCGCGCGTGAGACTATCTATCGGAAGTTCTAAAGATATGCTGTTTTTAAATATTTTTAGCACAAGATGGCGTTATCCCGAATGCTCTCGAATACTCGTATGTGTCTGTAATGAAAAAACGCCCGTTCGGGCGTGGTGTTTTTTTTTTTTTTTTTTTTTTTTTTTTTTTATACGAAGTAAAAAGAATGTATTGTAATCGCGAAAATTTCGGGTTTAATATTTCAACGAAAATATCCATTTTGACCGCTATCGAATGCAGTTTAACGATGTTTTTGCGTGACATCTATACTTAAGAACAGAATAAAGGACTCTTTCCCCAAACAGAATTATAAACCTGATTTAAAATTGATTCAGAAGAGATTTTGTTTCGTGGCGTCTGTACGTATGTACCTATGTATGTATCTTGCAAAACTCAAAATCGAGTAGCCTCAGAACGTTGATATTTTGTATATACGACTGCAATAACATGTAGATGTGCACATTCTATTTTGGTTGCAATCGGCCGACTTAATTCATATGTGCTGTCAGAATTTAAATGGTATTGTAGATTAGTTTGCAGCAATAATTAATCATTTATTAGTTTGCAATTAAAATTTCATAATTTAAAACTTAAATTAAAATTATTTTTAAATTTGCTTTTCACAAATAGAAAATATGTATATATATATATATATATATATATGCACTCAGTTACTCGGCTCAGTGAGCTCAGTTTCTTTATTCTTATATGTTTGTAAATTGTGCATTTTTTGCTTTAAAAATGATTTAATTATGTTATTCTTATCTTCTCGTTAAGGCTTTTATGTCTTTAGTTAACCTGAATGCAATAAATGTATAATTGTCAACAATTAAAAAGTTGTTTAAGTGCAGCTAAACCTAATTTTTTTACCATAGCAGCCATGTTTTTTACATTTGAAACTTAATGGAATAGTGGATTTGTTATGAATCTAGAGAAATTAAGCTTCGCAACAACAAAATAACGTCTTCTTTTATTGTTGCGAATTAAATTATGCTTAATCCATTCTGGAATTATCATTTAATTTATTATATTATCTAATATATTGACTCAGCATAGCGTCCACAACAAATTATATCAGTTTCTACGCCATCATCGTCTTTTTGCCGAGTGAGACCAAAAGTAAACTTTTAGTTTTGTGCACCGAAAAATGCGGATTCTTGCCTGCTAGCCAAATTGCTTGTTTTTGCGTAGAAACTGCAATTTTAATTTTTTGTAAAAATTTTAATTCTTTTAACTGTACTTGGTGTTTTATGTTTTTTTTATATCTTTCAATTTTGAATATAGATATTTTGAATTTTTATGTATTTTTGCCTTTTCGTGAATTAATCGAATGAGAAATATACCTCTGATGAAATTCGACGAAATAAGTTTAAATAAAAGGCGGGAAAAATGCGTATTATTTAATGTTCCGTAGAAGGTAGCCATGTGGTGTACACATCAGTTTTTTTAGTCCAAAGGGGCTTTGTTCTTGAAGGCCTATTATTTTCGTTTTGCGATTTTGCGTTGGTTCACTATAAATGTCCGTTTCACTTTTCAAAGTGTTGCCACCAAATGTTAGAGTCCTGCATTGTATTTGAAGAAATTAAATAATAAAAAATGTGCATCAATGTATACTTCTCGCATTGTGATAAAACAACGGTACATAGAGCCATCGAATTTTGAATAATGTAATCCTTCTATGAATATGGGTGTGTGGAAGCCCAAATTTGAAATTTGTAAATTGTTTTATTATCGATTTCGTATTTTGTAAACCTTTAGCGAAATTTTAATAAACAAACTCAAGGATTTCAAAGCGAGCAATGGCAACGTTGTACAGAAAAACATTTTTATCTCCAGCGCTGAATTTTATGGTTTAAGTGCGAAGAACGTGATATTTAATAAATAAATATAAAACGCAAAATGAATGCCGCTTTGGGCGTAATTTAAAGATTCGGATTTTTTTCATGTGTATGTTTGTGTGCAAAATTAATATACATGCATACATGCAGAATCTTCATTATTTGACATCTTCAAAAAAATACAGGACGATAATATTTCGTGGCAACAATCTGAAAAGTGATACGCTGTTTATACGGATGCAAAATCCTGTTTTTAGACTAAACAGCTCCTTTTGGGCTAAAAGGAAAAAAGGAAATTTCCAAAGAAACCGAAATAATTGATTTTCCTCTTCGACGTTTTGCCATACAAATTATTGTCGATTATGTTAATAAAATATAGCAAAGCTCTAGAAAACATATACAGTCGAGAAAAATATGTCTTTGTGTCCTCAAACATTCCAGGCGGCAGAATCGTTCTACCGTCTACCGAAATAACTTTAATGTAAAATATTTTATATTTTATCTTTAAATTTTATTACTTTTAAGTTTTCCTTAATTCTATGGTTTTTATTCGGGATATTTGTTATTTATATTTACGTGCAACTGTTCTTTCCATACACGCTAATATTGAAGGAAGTATAAAAGTACCCATGAATTTTGCTGTCTTTTATATTTTAATCCTTTGATTTTTTCCTATCTTTAAGAATTTTTTTGGGCTATTTAGAATATTCTTATTTATCGAATCTTGAGCAAAGATTTACTTTTGCGTGCATAAAAGAACTTTATATACCAGTTCCGGAAAATTTCCGTGAAGTTTTCAGCCAAGAAAAACCTTATTACTTTGTAGTGCCAAGACCAGAAATTGCTTTCGAAGTTTAGAAACTGCATGTGCCTCGGGTATTTTGAGATAAGCAAAAAAATGTAATTTTTAAAAGAGAGTTTATGTTAAATTGATATAAAATCAAAAATAATTCTCGACTTGCTTGAAAGGATATTTTG